CTCTGCCCTTCCCCTGCTCACGCTCTGTCTCTCTCTCTCAAAAATAAACATTAAAAAAATTTTTTTAAACAAAAAAACAAAACCATGAGCTCCAGAAATGTCTTTAATACCGTATAAAAAGTAAACTTTGGGCATGCTTCGGTGGCTCAGTCAGTTGAGCATCCAACTTTGGCTCAGGTCATGATCTCATGATTCATGAATTTGAACGCTGTGTCAGGCTCTGTGCTGACATCTCGGAGCCTGGAGCCTGCTTTAGATTCTGTCTCCCTCTCTCTCTGCCCCTCCCCGACTCGTGCTCTGTCTCTCTATCAAAAATAAATAAACATTAAAAAAATTTTTAAATTAAAAACAAAGGTAGATACTGATTAAGTAAACATTCTTTGGGTGCCTGGGTGGCTCAGTCGGTTGAGTGTCTGGCTGTTAATTTCAGCTCAGGTCATGATCTCGCAGTTCATGTTATTGAGCCCCATGTCAGGTTCTGTGCTGACAGCATGGAGCCTGCTTAGAATTCTGTCTCCCTCTCTCTCATCTGTCTCCCTTCCTCTGCTCATGTTCTCTCTCTCTCTCTCTCTCTCTCTCTCTCTCAAAATAAACAAATAAACATGAAAAAAATTTAAATAAACATTCTGATTTACAAATATCTTTGCAAATGAAACACAAATGAGAGAAATAGAATGAATACAGAATACAGAGATTCTTAGAAACTAGCAGGATACTGTGTATTCTGGATCAACCTCAGAAACTAGTACTCATCATTTTCATTCCTTTCTAGTCTGGAAATAAATCATTTATACAAAGTCTACACTGCTGTTCTGGTCATCTGTGGCATTCTTTGATGTACAGAATTTTAGAGCAAGAAAAGCTTGGGCTTTCGGGTTCAAGTTCCAACTATGCCACCCTACTAGCCACATAACCTTGGCAGATACTAATATTTGAGCCTCAATTTCCTTATCCATAAAATGTGAAGAATAAAAGTATTGCACTTCTCTCACAAAGTTATTATGAGACTGCAATAAGCTAATACACGCAAACTGAATAGCACGAATTTGCTATGCATTATTATATTTGAATCTCTCAATTTTACAGATGGGGAATCTAAAGCCTAGAAAACTGTAGTAACTATTTTGACCCAAATCACCCAACTACTTAGTGACAGAGCCAGAGCTAAAATCAAATCCCTTGAGCCACAATGTAGTCACTTTGTCAACTACAGTTTGCTAAAGCATCGTCTCACTGGCTTTGGCCAAAACTTTAACTATTAAGATTTCTCTCCCTCCTCAAATAATTTATTTCAGGCCCTGACTACAAATAAAGCAAAAATGCAAAGATAGGATAGCTACTTGTTGACTAATAGGTAAATTAAGGGACAAGCAGAGACACTGTGTATGGGGGAATCTGTCCAGGAGGTGTTCACTGCTAGTGGCCAAATGCCAAATCACCACAACTCCCACTGTAGGGATGAAGCCACAGGACAGTACATTCTAATCTTGATCATAACTTTATCCTACAGCCTAAGAAAATCCAAGACAACCAGCTGAGCAGGAAGAGTGTGATAGTCAAAGAATTGTTGAGCTCTCTTGTGCTATGCTAAAATCATCTTGGTTTTTTTTTTGTTTTTTTGTTTTTTTGTTTTTTTTTTTTGCTTTAAGAAAAAAGATTGAGGGGCACTTGGGTGGCTCAGTCAGTTAAGTGTCTGACTTCAGCCCAGGTCATGGTCTCACGGTTCATGAGTTCGAGCCCCTGTGTCAGGCTCTGTGCTGACAGCTCAGAGCCTGGAGCCTGCTTCGGATTCTGTGTCTCCCTCTCTCTCTGCCCCTCCCCAGCTCATGCTTCCACTCTGCCTCTGTCAAAAATAAATAAACTTAAAAAAATAAAAAATAAAAAAAAAATTTTTAAAAAAAGATTGATTTCAAGTTGGCCCTTCAAATGACATTTATAAATAATGAACAAGAATTGAAAAAGAAAATAGGACTGTAATCATTTACAGAAGAGGTAGCAACACCATTACTAGAAATAATAGAAATAAACCTCAACAAGAGGTAAATAAACCAGAAAACTGGACAATTAGGCCATGCATAAGCTCTAGCACATTTTCCATCTACAATGGTATAAACCAGGAGAAAAGAATATACTCAAATGAAAAATAAAAACGGTAATAAATCATAATCACTATTATCTAGTCCTTTTTATCAGACATAGACAAAGAATTAGGAAATCTAGAAAATTTCCTTGACATGGATTAATTGAGCAAAATGTAAAGAAATGTTAGATTTTCTGAAGCTCTCTGAGAATTCCAGAAACCATGACAAGGTTACTATTTTTTAAAATCATTGTTCTTGTACTTTTACATTTCCCAATGCCTACATCCCCAATCTTACATCCTCAATCTTAAAAAGACCTGACGACATCTTTGAAGACAATCAAACTTAACAGGCAGCTAGAGTAATTCACAGGCAGAAGGATACATAGAATTGTCCAAAATTCCTCAAAGCCAATAGAGAAGACTGTCTTCAGATTTGTGACACCAGGTTACAGCTATCTATCAAGCAAACTAAAGTGCAGCAAAGCACAACTTTAAGAGATATAAACTTCAGTTAAATGGAAGGCTTGGTTAACCACAGTTGAGTAAACCTGAGTTGTAGTGTAATCTGATAAGGAACAAATAGCATGAATGCTAGAATTAGAAACCATGTATCACCACTCTAGAGTTCTTTGAAAGAGTTAATCAAATAGTGGATAAAGAAAAACTGGTGCATATTATTCAAATAGTTGTCTTTGTATTTTTAAAATAAAGTCTCTCATAAGAAGCTATTAAGAAAATTTAGTAGCTATTGTGGATTAAGAATTGGTTAACAGACAATAAACCAAGACCAATGCTGACAGTGTCCAGTGATTAATACTAGACCTGTGTACAAGTTTATTAATGACCTAAAAGAAGCTTACGTGGACAGAAAAAGTGAAGAAAGACTAAAAATTGCCAATGATGCAAACCACCCTATAATAAAGGGTGAAAGGCCTTGCTAAATAATAGATACAATGAAATTCCCTCTTCACAAAGTAAAGAAACAACGTGTAAAGTATACTGATAGGCTCAAAGTTAATAGTTAATAATAATAATAATAATAATAATAATAATAATAATAATAAAAAGATTGGCAGGATTTACCAGAGAAAAAGGGTAGAGCAAGAGAAGATATGATAAAGATTGGTAAAATAATGAATGGCAAAGAGAACACCAGCTAGTCTCTGTTATATACCTTTTCCTTTCTGAATACACAGAAGTTTATGATAATAAAAGGTAACACATTTAAAATAAAAGAGGCACTATTTTATACAGCATATAATTAACCCATTGAACATGCTGCCACAGGACATTAATAAGACACAAAGCTTAGTATGGCTCCCAAAGACCACAGAGATATTAAAATATGGTTCTATAGTAAAACTACTTAGGGTAAAAAATGAAAATGGAACACATACCTCATGCTTTAGGGTATTAACTAGGCAAGGCCAGGAAGTCTCCTTTCCAATTATATTCAAAATTCTTTGTGACTTCAATTTTTAAATATTCCTAATTCCATCCTACAGTGCAAATTACATGTATAGACTCATCCAAAAAGCCTTTGGCCATTTTTCCCAGATACATTATTTTTGCCTGTTTATTTCTCTGAATAGTTAAGCCTTCCATGTCATCCAATTCTTCTTCTACTTAATTTATCCCAGTTTCAAAATATTGCTTAAAAAGTGACCATGAAGAACCACTAAATCATATATGCTAAAATCCATGTTTGGAAAAGAGAGTTCTATACTTTGTTAAATTTTCTCACCTCCTTTAAGTAGACAAAAATTGCAATTCATACAATACTTTGGTTCTGTTCAAATCACAAAATTAAAATCTGAGTTTGGATACTGGAATAAATCATATTTAATAACATTTTAACCTATATCCAAGAGCTACAGCAAGTGTCCTTTCATAAAATGAATTGTAATCAATAAGCAACATAATTTTATGGAATAAGACACTAGAACGCCACAGCAAAAAGGTATAGCCCTTTGGGCTCTATCTTCACCATGGGGAATGGTAATTCATCTATGAAATGCTATGGACCCAGTCAGTTCATAAATTCAACACATAAAGAGTAGGCTATGAATGAATCACAGGCAAAATTCACAGCCTGAAAGCCTAAGAAACTGTGTCTGAAAAGATCTGTGGGTCAATAAAAAATAGATGTTAAATTAAAAATTTTTCAAAAATAAAATTATGTATAGACAAGACCAAAGGAGGCAAGTTTACACCTTGTGTCCATTTTGTAATTCAGTCCTCTCCATTTTGGGCTTAGCTATAGGGTGCTCCACGTGGTATAAAGCCAGCCATAGCATTCAAGCTTGGCTGAATTTTAAAAGTGACACAGTAATCAGATATGCTCCAAGGGCATTCTAGAATTTCAGGGTGCTGCTGACCATTGTAACCTCCTTACAATTGTATGGGTAACAGATGGTAGCTAGACTTATTGTGGTGATCACTTTGTAATGCATACAATATCAAATTATTATGTTGTACACCTGAAACTAATATAATGTTATATATCAATTTTAACTCAATAAAAAAAATATCAACCTCCTCAGTGTTCACTTCAAATTTAAACAGGATATAAAGTATGATCCTCATGTCAATTAAATACAAGTCCGTATATTTAATCTATCAAAAAATAGCGTCCAGAGTACTGGACTTGCAAAGAAAGGTCTTACGTGGATCTAAAATGGCAACGTAACACCAGAGTTAAAAATAAGCAGATGATCTTCTAAAATGTGGAATTTGTATGTTTCTTTTTTAGAATAAGAATTGGCTTTAGAATGCCAATAACGCAATATCCTTAAAAGATGGAACAAACAGCAAACTCAACAGCAGAACCTCTTGTATGGTATTTGGTTTGGGAGACAAAAGAAGAAAGACACATTTCGAACAGATGGAAAGTGAAACATAATAAAGTTATCCTTACCTGCATTAATTTTCCTTCTGCTGGAGTTATTTCAGCAACACCAGCAAAAACACCTTCCAAAGTGAGATTCAGTTTTCCTGTGGGGTCCATTTTCAAGGGGATCACTCTGATAATAGCTTTCTGCTCTGCTGATCTTTCAGACTCCACCGCTGCTGCCAATACCAGTCCTGTACGTCCAAAGCCTGCCTGCAGGGTAGCCATCAGCAGCCAGGGCCAGAGGGCAGCCAGCTGCAGCTGGTGGCCACCACTCATGCTACCAGCTGCAGCAATGCACCTCGGCCATACATACTGCTTCCACTAGCTAATACCAAATGCAGGTTCTCAGATCCAGACAAATATGGAGGAAAAGAGAATTTATGCTTCAGTTTCTGAAAGCCAAGTCGTAGTTTTGGCCCTTCCTTTCTCTAAAGTATATTCCCAAGAACAGGTGTCATTCCTGATCTGGCAGAGAAGAAGGTGTTTTCAGCCCACTTCTGCTGCAGGGATGTCATTTTCTCCCATCTTCACCATGATTAGTAAAGATATCACCACTTCTGTTTGGAATTTCCAACTTTGCTTGAGGTTGAATGTCACATCCTGAATTTTTATTATGTCAGATCACTTGGTGCTGGTCTTCCATATGCATCAAGTTGCTGAGCCACTAAATCCAATGTTAATGAACAAAACAAGGCAAAGTAAACAACTAAAGCCATGCACTGAAGGTGAGAGTGAAACACGCCAGCTCGGAAAATGAAGAGATGGTCCTTTTTAAGCCACAGAACTTGTCAATGGTCATAGGAGGATTTTTGTTTTAATGGAGAAGGAGAGGGTACAATATATTTCAGGCCACACCGTGAGGGATGTCCAAAGATGCTATAACACGTATTCATAAAAGTTTCCACATTAAACTGTATTTTAGGGTAGCCAAAGTTCTAGACCCATTGAATTTATAATACTTTTCATGAACTTAAATATACTATCATTTTTAATGTTCTACCTAAATTTGTCTATAAATTAGATGCTAATTTATATGTCTTCACATATTACAGGATAATCCTGAGTATCACCGCTTTTTCCAACTTTCAAAGTTCGAAGAATATTTGAAAAGTTTAGCTTTCCAATTATTTTTCCCAGTTAAAGTTGATATTTCTATCTTTATTTTCCTTTCTCTGTTAGGGATTCCAGCTTTTATTCTCCTGCTTGAGAATGTCAAGTACTTTGATTTCCCATGAGATGATTTTGGAAACTACTTTATTATCCAGATTTTATAATCTGTAATTTTCTAGGTTCATAAGTAAAACAAAGGACCATTCCTAACACGTTTTCAAATTCCTTGAGGGGGCGGGGAATAAAAGATAGGGGGAGTAGGGAGGTGATTAGTCTACAGGCTCTAAGTAGAACACCCTGAAAAAGTATAAATAAGCCTGAGTAGAGTAGATCTGTGCTATTTCTAGGCACACTTGAGAATTTGGGTCTTTGTACAAACAAAATCTGAGTTCTAAGATATTAAAATGTGCACCCTTAAGTAAATATAAATGCACTTCAACCATAAAGCCCGCCGTGTTCAGAGGTCAAGTTAAAAAGTCTTATAAAGTCTTCAGAAAAAGTGCTGAAAAGCCAAGCAATTGAACATGAACCTGTTACATAGATCCTTTTCTTTTGCTGAGGCAGAGGGAGAAAAATAAGAATTTCAAAAGAAATCTGCAAACCTGTTGCGCTGTCGGGCCCACTGGAATCCACGGGGGTGAAACAAATTCAATTATGCTTTTATAGGTCCTGCTCAAAAAAGGTTTCAACTGCTTAACCAAGTACAGCTCATTCTTCCACCTTCTTACACTGCAACCAAACCAAGTGCCCCACACTGTAGGTAGGTGCCGAGAAATTCCGCAGCCTGAAAAAATAATCCATGCAGGTCAAAGGCAAACATTTACTCCAGGGTTAGAGCTACTGTTCCCAAGACTCTAAAAGCACTTATAAAGGATCCAAAATCATTTCTGAAATCTCCTTTCTAACAAAAGTTCTTTTTCTCCCCGAACAGCATATAAAATGATCAAATCTTGAGAGAGAAAAGGAGCAAAGTAGCAAATACATCAGCAACAATTCACTACCAGGAACACAGAAAATCCCAGAGGGAGAAAGCAGTATCTCTGAATCATGGATGGGCTTGGAAAGTTCGGAAAGATTCGAGTGCTTCCCTTCCAGAAAGACAATTCTGGATCAACTCCCTAGAGGAGGAAGCCTGTGGTTTGTAATTGGTGTTCTAGCTCTGACTCCCTCCCCTGGGACTGCAATCACGCTCTCTACCTGCTGACACAAAGTGAGGGTGGAGCAGCTACAGGCAACCACCCCCCCTCCCGCCCCTCCTCCTCCTGGCTGGCTAGGGCAAGGGCTGGAGTGCGCGCACACTTAACTGAGCCAGACATGTTCTTTTGCTCTCTCCTCTCTCAGCTCCTCTACTCCCTCTATTGAGCCACAGCCAAATTGCATCCAGTTCAATGGGTAAGCAAGCTACCACAGGTAAGTCAGGTTCACTCAAACAGGTATCTAAGCAGATTGCACCCAAGAGAACATAAATGGTGGTATAAAGAAATAAAGAGAACAAAATAATGAAAACGCGGAACATGAAAGAGGGGACACAGGGCTTTGCAAATGTAAGTTCAAAGGGGTTTCTGCTCTTTTGGGGCTTTCCTGTCTATAAGTGGCACAAAGCCAGAATAAAGTCATCCAGTGCTGTAGTGTTTACTGCTGTCTTATGTCTGCTACCCTGGCAGGAACTCTGTCCATTTTATGCATACTTTTTCTTCTGCTTTTACTTACTTTAAATTCAGTATCTCCTTTCTAAAACTGTTCCTGTATGGAGCTTTTAGTCAGGTTGATGTCAGAGGTCTTGAGCCTGTTATTTTCTTCCCACATCTTTGGGAGGTCAGACCTATGCCATCAATGTAAGATTGCAAGTAAGTCTATGTCATAAATGCAACCAAAGGGGCAAAATATATATGATTAATGAGAAGCCTGTAGGCAAAAAGAAAACCCATTTTGGCTAATAACCACATTCATGAATTATATATAACCCTTTTAGTTACCTTGTCATTAGAATGCAAACATTTCTCATATGTGTTTCTAAAATTTGAATTTTCATATTTACCAGATTATATTTGACTGTGGCCAGACATTTTATTTTTGACCTTTTGACAATAATCTTTCCAAATGGTACAAATGTACAACAGTATGAATGTGGTTAACACTACTGAATGTACACTTCAATGTTTTAAATTGTGGTAAGAAGCATATAAGATTTAAAAATGTTTTGATTTTACAAATGAAAGCATACAAATTGATCATCTGTAAAATGTGGATAACAATAATTGCATTGTAGGTTGGTTGTAAAACTTAAATGACATAATACCTCTGAAAGCAAAAAGTATAGGAGCTCTCTTCACCTTGAGCATTTTTTCCCTAGAGAAGGTTTATGGGAACACTTTTGACATTTTAGGCCTAATGACTGACATAGAGCAGAATAAAATAAATTCTTAATTTAGCATGTTTCTTTGTTGCTTGGACCTTAGGAATACAATGCAAGTATAGACCTTTACAGCTCTTTCCAAAAGAATATATCTAATTCTCAATCAAAAAGAATGCAATCTTGCCTTTTGCAACTACGTGGATGGAACTAGAGGGTCTTATGCTAAGCAAAATTAGTCAAAGAAAGACAAATATCATATAACTTCACTCATATGAGGACTTTAAGATACAAAACAGATGAACATAAGGGAAGGGAAGCAAAAATAATATAAAAACAGGGAAGGGGACAAAACAGAAGTCTCTGAAATATGGAGAACAAACAAATATGGAGAACAAACAAATATGGAGGGGTTGTGGGAGGGGGGATGGGCTAAATGGGTAAGGGGCATTAAGGAATCTACTCTTGAAATCATTGTTGCACCATATGCTAACTAACTTGGATGTAAATTTTAAAAATAAATTAAATTTTAAAAAAAGAATATATCTAATTCTTCTAGAGAGAATTTTTTACATCTGTGGTTTTATATTTTTATTTTATGTATGTTGTGTAATAGTATAGCATAAAAAATGCAAAATACACATTACTATATATTTGATATATGCAAAATTATCTTAAACAAAAAGTGACCTACTAATGGACTTTACCTCACCTATTCCTGCTTGAAACTTAGAAAGGAGTTAATAAGAGACTTAAACCTAAGAGTTAATAAACACACTTAGTTGAAAGAAGGAAGAAAATATAGATGTGGTTGCCCTCTCTTGAGGAAACTCCAAGATCTAGGAATGATGAAAATATGTATCATGAACCTGGATATCCACTTAGATACTCAGGATCAAACTAAACAGCCCAATGCACTTTACTTCACTGATACACTGTATTTATTGGGTCACCAGAGCTGACAAACAAGAAAAATTATTCTCTGGCTTATCCCTCAGGTTATCTACTACAACGTCCACAGAGATATCATAAAGATGTCATTACCATGGTAATGAAATGCCATGTCACTAATATTTACTACCTAATCTTACCCGTGAGAAATATCATCCTTCAGGATCTATTTTCACATCTGGATTGACTAAAGTTACTGAAGACATGAGTCCTTTTCCTAAAAAAACAGATTTCTATAAATATGTCCAAGAATTGTCCTTATCCTTAATGGCATTTTAAAGACTCAATCTCCATTCAATCACAAATGAAGAAAAACAAAAAAAGCCAGGACATTTTTTTAAGTAGATTCTTTGAAAAACAGAATACATTCTCTTTCTTTTTTTTTTTTTTTTGTTTGTTTTTGTTTTTTTTTCCAATATATGAAGTTTATTGTCAAATTGGTTTCCATACAACACCCAGTGCTCATCCCAAAAGGTGCCCTCCTCAATACCCATCACCCACCCTGCCCTCCCTCCCACCCCTCATCAACTCTCAGTTTGTTCTCAGTTTTTAAGAGTCTCTTATGCTTTGGCTCTCTTCCACTCTAACCTCTTTTTTTTTTTCCTTCCCCTCCCCCATGGGTTTCTGTTAAGTTTCTCAGGATCCACATAAGAGTGAAACCATGTGGTATCTGTCTTTCTCTGTAATACATTATCTTTCAAATTTTGCTATTATTAATACTAGTCATAATGACTTAGTTTTGTATTGATCACCAGTTAAACAGTAAAAACAAGCAAGACAACTCCAGTTGAAACACTCACTTTATTGTTGACTGATTGAAATTTATTGTGCTTAAGGTGCTGAAATACTGAGGAGCTAGTCAGAAACCTTGTTAGTATGCGTCAGACCCTACTGGCCAATTCACACAAAGATTTTATTTTATCTTCTGACATTTTTCCCAAGTCAGCGATGATAGCTTTAGTTGATAGATAGCAGGCATGTGAGTATAACAGGAGATCCAGCTCCTTGGTCTGTTGTATTCACATATAAAAAAGTTTGGAAAGCTGATAAAGGCATTTCATTAATTAAGCCATGCCAAGGTTTCTGCTTGACATATGTTCCTCAAAGGATATTATCTCTTTCAACAGATACAAAGCTAAAAAGGCATATTAAGGGAAGGAATGTCACCTACACAGTTTGTCAGCTTCTCAACATGACAGAGAAAAGGCAAAGTTCCTTCATTTGGAAATTGGGTCTCCTCTTCACATACTCTGCCAAAATACATAGTCTGGCCAAAAGATGGAGGAGTCTTGATATTCTGTTCATCTTTTTTAAACCTTGCTAATAAAGATTAATAAATGCCCATCACGTGGACATCAACTAATCTAATCAGATGGACCAAACAGGTCACTTTTCAGAACCTACTTTCATATCTAAACTGAGTCACTGCAGACCAATACAGAACTCATCCTTTTCCAAAAAACTACTATCTCTGTTAACACGTCTATGGTTTGACATCATTGGGAAGGCACAATGCAATTTAAGAGATGAATTGTTACACCCACAATGACTAGCATAGTATTTATGTCATATCACTAAGTGCCTTTTCTTTTTAATTAGTTTCATATTCCTACACTTTCCTTTTGTTTCTGCAATTCTTATTAGGACAACCAAAGCAGAATCCAATAAGAAAGTTCTAGTCAGTGTAAAAGACTTTAAAATCATAAAGTTTCTTGCTATCACTAGATGAGCAAGTGAGGGATGAACCACAGAAAGTGGACACCCAAGATACCTCTCCTAAAAACCGGTCCCACAATCCTACTACTTGAATTTAGAATCCTGCAGAGGGGATAAAATAAAAATGTTATGGTATATCCCACTATCCAAAATTCTCTCAGGAGCTTAAAGCAGACATAAACTATTACAAATGTCAGAGGTATAGCTTCTGTTAAATGACTGATCAGGTTTTCCCAAAATTTTGCACACAGTATATATAGATGAGAATTTACATGTACCAAATGTAAAAATCTAAAGTAAGAAAACAGTGTTAAATCTCTTAATGTTTTTGTTCACACATTTCCCCTTCAAAATAAGTATCTTACACATGCATCCTTTATCCTTCTATTGTGCAATCTTAATAAAAATATAAAGCTTTAAAACTTTTAACTCTACCAGCATTTATAAATATATTAAACAAATTAAAAAAACTTTAGAAGACATTTAAATAAGTGATATATAACAAAACCTTCTTACCATTTATGATAATGTATCATTAAAATTAAAGAAAGATATGAAAATAGAAGAATGCTCCCATTAATATAAAACAATCAGGAGCTGTTAAGTGTGATGGATGGTCCAAGTCCAGGTGCCTCGCTTTCGAAACAGAATGTTGGGTTAGGAAGTAAGAGCATTTCCTGGTTAATCAGTTAGAAAATTAGCTCTTTCTCAGAGTTTCTTTCCTGGAATTCCTGACCCATTTAGACCTGCGATCTTGGTGACCACACATGCCTTTGTTTCGCACAGTCTTCTCTAGAAGGATCACAGTGTGACTTGAAACAGATAGACTGAACTCCCCCTCTGGAATTGTGCTGACTAAAGTTTGAGAGTGGCAAGACAGCAAATCAACACACACACACACAGCTTATTCTCCAGTACCATAGATGCAGCAGTTTTTAGATGCTTCTTGACTGTAACAGAAGGCCAGGACTTTCCATTTGAAAGGGATCTGGGCAAAAAAAAAAAAAAAAAAAGTCTGCTAGATGTTTCATAGTTTGTCAAGGTAAATAATCTGAACTGAAAAGCTGTAGTAAATACCAAAATCCCAATTCTCAATTAACAAAATTCTCAATTAACAAAACAAAAATACTTTTTTTTTTTCCTTAACAGAACTGAAAAACTCCGAACAGTGTGTCATGTGCAAGGCTAGTCTGCCCTCAGCTACAGCTAGTGCACAATGTCACGTACGTCCTCCATTCCTCACTCTTTTAATTCTTCCTCCTTTGGAAAGTGCTCCTGTTTGCAGGCCACGTCCACCAGCAGATGAAGATCTAGAAAGAAAGAAGATTTGTTTACTCACTCTTGGCCTCTCAGATTGGAGAGTCTGATAGACCAGTCTTCAGACAAGAAGAACAAGTTGCTCGTGGTTAAGTGTAGAATTGGTTTGGGGCGCCTGGGTGGCTCAGTCGGTTGAGCACCGACTTCGGCTCAGGTCACGATCTCGCGGTCCGTGAGTTCGAGCCCCGCATCGAGCCCGCATCGGGCCCCTGTGCTGACAGCTCAGAGCCCGGAGCCTGTTTCAGATTCTGTGTCTCCCTCTCTCTGACCCTCCCCCGTTCATGCTCCGTCTCTCTCTGTCTCAAAAATAAATAAACGTTAAAAAAAAAAATTTAAAAAAAAAGTGTAGAATTGGTTCTAAAATTCTATGATCTCAGTTTTGGGACATTCCTGTATCTCTAAGGAACACAGATGCAGCCCAGTTGTTAACCCAGTGAGACCAAAAAGTGTACAGTTGGTATCTTTTCAATGATACAGCTAAGCCTCTTTTCACTTCAACTGCTTTTTATTATAAGTGAAAAATTAAGGAAAAGTGTCAAAGGGATCAAAGTGAAATATACACACACAAATGAAAATTCATTTCTTTGATCCTATAAAGATGAGTGGGTGGGTGGGTTGTGGGAATATGAGAAAATAATGCCTTCAGAAACACAATGTTAAAATAAATAATCACTACTTTTCCAAAGTTGATTGACTCCATACAATTTCCCCTTACAACACAGCTGATCTCTTGCAGAAGAAACACCTACCTGAACTGTCTGTAAAAAAGAAAGCATACCCTTCATGGAGGTCAAGAGACAAAAAGGGTCCACTAAGAATGGAAAGAACTAAAAAACTGAACTCTCAGCTCAAGTACTAGGTTTTGTAATACAAAGAGGCCATGTATGGGAGTAGAGCTAAATGGCCTGAGTAACACAGGCAGAAGTCAGAGGATCTTACTGTGGCTTCTAGACTCAAGCTAATTAGTTTACAACTTCCAGAGCAACATACAGACTTCTAGTTTATAATTTCTAGGGGAACCAACCTTTCTAGGTTTGTTTTGAAGCTTACGATTTTGCCATAGTAGCATTTGGGAATGAAATTAAACTAAACTATATAGCATAAGTCCTTTATTTCATTCTAGACACAGACTTTTGTCACTGTATTTCTAGAACACAGCCTCTGTGGGACTGATCCACAGACTGGGCAAGAGAGCTGATTCAACAAAATAATTCTACCACCATATTTGAGAAAATCCAGAAAGCATATGGAACAATAGCTAATTTTTGCCATATTTTGTAAAAGGTAGACCAGTCACTAGGGGCAGTTCATCTCATCTGGTGAATTACACTACAACCTAACCATAAAGAACAAGCAATTTATCCAGATGAGCATCTTATAGTGGGAGAAAGGCCATGATTTTATCACTTAAAATTGGCTTCTTGTATATCCACGATCATAGCAGCATTATTCATAGTAGGCAAAAGGCAGAAGCAATCCAAGTGTCCAAGGACCGATGAATGGACACATCAAATGTGGTATATACATACATTGAAATATTATTTAGCTTTTAAAATTAGGAAATTCTGATACATGCTACAACATGGATAAACCTTGAAAATATTGTGCTAACTGAAATCAGTCAGTCACAAAAGGACAAATACTGCATAATTCCACTTACGTAAGGTACCGAGAGCAGTCACATGTATAGAGACAGAAAGCGGCATGGTGGTTGCCAGGGGCTGTTATGGGAGTTACTGTGCAACGGACAATTTCAGTTTGGGTAGACGAAGAAGTTCTGGAGGTGGTTGGTGGTGATGGTTGTGCAACAAATGTGAATGGACTTAGTACCACTGAACTGTACACTTAAAAATGGTTAAAATGATAAATTTTATGATATGTATATTTTACCACAAAAGTCTTTCTTTAAAGTCTATATAATAACAAAAATAGTGATAGGTTATATTTATATAACATCTTTTTTTCCAAATAGTTTAAAGTGCATTATTATAAGGTCATCTAATTAATTCTGAGGCGTAAATTGATACTGGGAGCAAGAACCTCTATGCTAAGTCTACATGGTTATTAAGTAAAGCCAGTGGTTTCTAAACCTTGTTGCACATTGGAATCACCTGGAGGATCTTTTAAAAAATACTAATGCAGGGGCACCTCGGTGGCTCGGTTGGTTAAGCATCTGACTTCGGCTCAGGTCATGATCTCACGGGTTGTGAGTTCGAGCCCCGTGTCAGGCTCTGTGCTGACAGCTCAGAGCCTGGCGCCTGCTTCAGATTCTGTGTCTTCCTCTTTCTCTGCCCCTACCATGCTCGTGCCCTCTCTCTCTCTCTCTCTCTCTCTCTCTCTCTCCCAAAAATGAATAAACACTAAAAGATTTAAAATAAAAAAAATACTGATGCATAGGACTCCTACCCCCATACATTCTGATTTAATTGGTGTGGAGTGCTACTTAGGCATCAGGATCTCTAAAAGTTGACCAGAAGATGTAGGAGTAACACCTAATGATTATTCTCTAAACATCTCAGCTCCATATTGGGGGGGGGGGGAAGTGGGAAGGACAGGCCAAATGGTAATAGAACATATTAAAATAAGACTTGGGAATATGAATAGACCCAGTTATAACCCAGCTTTGAAAGCAGAGTAGGAATTCTTGATAATGACAAAGGTAAAGGCTATTAAAGCAACTACAGATTTCACATGGGGAGGTAAACTGAAAAACAGCAGCAACAAACTCCCTCTTTTTTTAAGTTTATTTTGAGAAAGAGAGAGACAGCACAAGGGAGGGGCAGAGAGAGAGAATCCCAAGCAGGTTCTGCACTGTGCAGAGGCCAACACGAAGCTCCATCTCATAATTTGTGAGATCATGACCTGAGCTGAAACCAAGAGTCAGAGGCTTAACCTATGAAGCCACCAAGGTGCCTCAAACCCCCTTTTTTTTTTTTAAATCAGTGAACAAATGTCATTCATTTCATTGCTTATTAAGACTTTACCATATTGATAGGTTCAAATAATGGACAAGAACACATCATAGATAGGCATGTTTAAAATAGAAATAGCCTGTGTGGCTCTTTAATAGCCTCAGAATTAGTTATGTAAAGTAGTGTGAACAACAAACCCTCTTAACCTTAATGATTGGGCTTTAAAATAGCACTTGGCACACAGTTTCTAATAATGAGCATCTAAACATAGTAATTTTATTAAAGTGAACTTCCTTCATTAGCAAAGCTGCCAATCAAGGAGTTAAGAGTATAGAGACCAATAGAAATATGAAAAGACAGACTAGCCTGGTGCTACTAGAGGTTTATATGACTTCATTTAGAAGAGAAGCTTGCATACTCACCAGAGAAGGTAAGTATTTGGGGATCACAGTAGCTCAGTTGGTTTGAGAGTTGAAAGGCCTTGAGGGCCAAGAGCATTGCATCTACTTGTTTGGGAATGTTAATTCCGTCCAAGAGCACCCTCTAGGGCTTGGGGGTTATTATCTAAATGAAATCTCATCCATAATCCAATAGCTACAAAATGAGAAGCCCTTCCTTTAGGAATGAATAGAACTTTGCTTGTAAACCTTCAATTTCCCTTAACCAGAAAGTTAACATCCCATGAGAACATGAATGAGTGTAGCTTCTACTATAAAATTAATATTTGGGTATATTCAGTTTAGAGTGATATCATCAAAGAAATTGGAGGCGCATGACTGAATCTAATTTCCTTTACCTTTTGGTATTTTTGATCCAAAACGTATTTCCTTAAGTTAACTTGTGCTCAAAAAGCCTATGCAGAGAGGGGCTGAGGGAAGATGGCGGCGTAGGAGGACGCTGGGCTCACCGCGCGTCCTGCTGATCACTTAGATTCCACCTACACCTGCCTAAATAACCCAGAAAACTGCCAGAGGATTAGCAGAACGGAGTCTCCGGAGCCAAGCACAGACAAGAGGCCCACGGAAGAGGGTAGGAAGGGCAGCGAGGCGGTGCGCGCTCCATGGACTGGTGGGAGGGAGCCGGGGCGGCTCACAGGCCAAGCAGAGCCCCCGAGTCTGTCTGGCAAAAGCGGAGGGGCCTGACGGACTGTGTTCCGACAGCAAGCGTGACTTAGCGTCTGGGAGGTCATAAGTGAACAGCTCTGCTCGGAAAGCGGGAAGGCTGGAGGACAAAGGGAGGGAGAGCTGCTGAGCCCCCGGACGACAGAGCTCAGTTTGGTGGGGAACAAAGGCGCTAGCCAGTGCCATCTCCCCCGCCCATCCCCCAGCCAAAATCCCAAAGGGAACCAGTTCCTGCCAGGGAACTTGCTCACTCCGCGCAAACACCCAACTCTGTGCTTCTGTGG